GCGTGAGACGCCGCCATGTGACCCTTCAAAGTAGTTTTATGAGAAAATCTTTTGTCGCACAGAGTACAAGCAAAAGGGCGCTCCCCGGTGTGAGTCCTCAGATGGCGCTGCAGGGCACTGTTCTGAGTGAAGGCTTTGCCACACCGAAACGGGCATTCGAAAGGTCGCTCTCCGGTGTGAATTAAAACATGGCTTTTCACATGAGAAATATTGTACGAGTGGTATTCACAAAAGGCACACTGGTGTAGCTTCACATTGTCCACCCATTTGCTGACAATCCCTGCAAAAGAGAGGTAAAATTAGGCTGGATTTATTGACAGACTTTATATTTTCACAGTCACAAAATACACTGGCCTTCAAAAGTTAAGGAACAACATGTTTTCCGAAGCTCACCATAAAAAAATTATAATAATAATAAAATTTAGAGTTTTTATAAATGATAAAAACGAACTTTATGCAAATTTATGCCGAAACGGTAGCTGACACACTTTTTTTATAGAAAAGTACAAGTATATATGAATGAGAGAAAAATATGCAAATATCAGGCTTTCGTAATTACGCGTGTAACTTTTGTTGATTTACAATTTTTGTTAGCAGATTCGTTGACAATAGGCAGTGGGGTTCCGCAATGTCTGAGAAAAGCCATTTGCCCGATTCGTTAAGGTGGCGGTCGGTCGGATGGATCGAAATGGGATTGTCCCAGACTGATGCTGCTAGGCATTTTAATGTGTCTCGCAGTGTGGTCCACCGTCTCTGAAATCAATATCAAACCGAAGCTTCTGTCTCCAGAAGACATGTTCCAGGTCCACCACGAACTACAACACCTGCGGAAGACCGTTTTATTGCTCTTTTGGCCCGAAGGAGAAGAAGCATTTCTGTGCCGCAACGTGTTGCAGATCACTCTGTAGCATCAGCGAGAATATTTGCTAGTACTGTGCGAAGGCGTCTTCACAATTCAGGTCTCTATGCAAGGCGATCAGTTGTGCGTGTCCCCCTCAACGGAGGGCAGAGAACGGCCCGCTTATCTTGGACAAGAGAACACGTTTCCTGGACCAGGCAGAGGTGGGCTCCTGTACTTTTTACAGACGAGTCCAGATTCGCACTGAAGAGCGATTCAGGACGTCTGCTGATCTGGAGGGAACAAAGCACCAGATACCATCAATCCAACACTGTTGAAAGACCCAGTTACTGAGGTGGTGGAATAATGGTTTGGGTTATTGGTTTTCAAAAATGCAATCTCAATAAATTTGTAGGACACATGAATCACAACACTATGAGACAATTTTCACAAATAAAACTATTAGATACAAAGATTAGATTTCACAAATAAACTATATTTTAATGCAATAAATTTGAGATAACAGATAAAAGAAAAAAAAGATGCATGAACACCCATCCATTTAAAATTTTTGCTTCTAACATAGAATTCAAAATATATTGTCTGAAAATAAAACATTTACTGATGTCAGTTATGCCTCATCTGATGTCCCATACATGTAAAGTGTGGCAAGTACTAAACTAACTTCATTAAGTAAAAGTAAAGTATTAACTTCAGTAAGTGTTTAATTTAAAAGTGAATTCTTTTATTTTAATTTAAAACTTACGTCGCTGATATCAATAAAATGGCTTCAATGAAATTGAAAATTTTCTTTTTTATCATATTATATTTTAATTCAAAAATTTTATGAGGTTGGACCTCTAAAAAAAGAAGTTTTTTTTTATTTTAAGAAGTAAAATATGAAGTGTGAACAATGATATTAAATTATATCAAGATAAAAATAATTACAAGATTTCTTTTGTAATTAATAAAACATAGATATTGAATATCCGGCATATAAAAATTCTGCTTTCAATATAACAGTTAGAAGGAAATAATATTAGTGAAAGCAGAAAGATTCAAACTTAAAGAAACAAACAAATACACACACAATATTAATTCCATAAATCATCCTACAAATACAATTGAGAGCATGTGTGATAAGTCTATGATTACCGTTCCCCATACACATATATAAATATTTTATTACTTTACATTTTTTACTTATATAAAAGAATAAGATACACTAATCATATACTTTAATTCTAAACAACATTTAATAATTCTATTTTTGTAAATGATATGATTGATTTTTATTAGATTGACACAAAAAATAAACATTTTCATTTTCAGAATAATTGTATGTGAATCTGCAGCAAATCGAAATAAACTGATCTCGGAAATTATTAGGGAATCTCAAATGTGATTACAATGAAAATAGCTACAAATAATTTTTAAATAATTAGCTTGGGAAGAAAATTTCCATTTAATATCTAAGCTCTAATTTGGTCTTGTTAAAAAAATGAGTAAGATACAGAAAATGTTGAATGAATAGTAATATCAAAACTTTTATATTTCTTCATGTATGAATTTAATTGGGAAAAATGCAATACTGAACGTATGGGCATTTTTATGCAATGAAAAGACATTCACAAGTATATTATTTTAAAGTTTTAATTAATAATAATGAAAAATTATCATTAAAAAATACAAATTTTTTATTATTTTCAAAAAAATTGCCAAAGATTCAATAAATCAGCTTAGTTTTTCTTATAAAATATAAATTGTGAAAAATAAATTATACATTTCCAGAAACATTAGGAACTTATCTTTAAGCTCAAGTAATTTTATTCTACTTATGGTTGATTTCACACAATTTGAGGACGAAATTGGATCGATTCCCATAAGAATCACTCGATGGTGTGTCTCTTAATTGGTTCATTTAACATTGCTTAATAAGAGAAGTAATTAAAAAAATTAAGCATACTATTTAAATATTATATTATATTTACAAATATTACACATAAAATTTGTAAATATTACACTATAAGCAATAATAATAAATTATTTTAAAAATGAAAAAAAATCATGGTGTTGAATCAGGCAATTAGTTTGGATAATAATAAAATGCTGTGCAGACTGTATACATAACCAAAGAAATTAAAACTGACTGAATAATTGAAACTTCCTTTTTTTAAAATAATTACCATTGTACAATAGAAATAGTTTTTAATTTAAAAATACTCTATAGTTCATACACAGAAAATAAGAAATTCCACTGATTGCAATAAGATTTAACTTGTGGACAACAAATGGAAAACATTGACAATATTTAAAAATGCAAAACTTTCCTTATATGGCATGAGTATGTACAAAGAAAAGAAAAACACTGTTTGGTTATGAATACAAAGAAAAAAAAACCCTTTCAAGATGAAGAAAACTGTTCCAGTACACAAAACTATTAAATTAGAACATTATACACTACTTGACAACAAATATCATTAATACACATTAATTATTATATTATAAAATACACACAAACTAAAATAAGAAATTAAAATAATTCTATAACATATTTCTCAAAGAGCACAGTTCAGTGTCTCCTACACTATAATTACTTTAACACCATACTTGATGATTCTATATTGCTTTAATTGTTATTGTTATTTTATGTGAGAACTGTGTCGAAACAATTTATAACAAATAGAGCATTTAAAGGAACCTTTTTCCAGTATGAATCCCAATGTGTTCATTCAAATTTAATTTAATACAAAATTATTTTTTACAAACAGTACATGGAAAAGGTTTCTCTCTGGTTTGAGCTATCATATAGATCTTCAGGCGTTCGTTCTGAGCAAAGGTTTTGCAACACTGAAATGGAAAATTGAAAGGTTTCCCTCTGGTGCGAGTCCTCAAATCAACTTTCAGGTCATTGTTTTTCAATGAATGCTTTGCCACAAAGGAACAACCAAAAGATCACTCTCCAGTGTGAGTTAAAAAGTGATGTTTCCCATTGCCAACATTTGTTGAATGGTATTCACAAAAAGGACATTAATATATCTTCATATTGCCTTCTAATCTGCTAGCCACTATAAAGAAAATGAAAATTAGACTGGATTTATAAATAAATATTACAGTTAACAAATAAAAAAAAGAATTTATGAAATTCAATAAATCATCACATGCAATATGCTCATTGTTCAATTTTTTATAAGGTTTTAAACACAATAGATCATGGAGATAAAAAGAAAATTTAAGGCAATGGAAAAGTTTTGAACAAAAAAAAATAATAATATAAAATTTGTCTGAAACAAATAATATTAGATTGTCAATATCAAGATTCAAATTCTTTTATCCACAATCAATTTCAAATCATTACTTTTTTCATTACAACTAGTTAATGCAAAATACAATATCTGCGAACGAAACATTTTACTATATTGAAGGGATTTTCATTTCTTTCAGAAAGAGACCTCAATAAAGTACTAGGTAAAATTGAGACTAAAATGAACTATTATAATAAAGTTTTCTACAAATACAATACATAAAAATTTAGGTAAAACTTTCAAGTATTTGTAAAAACGCTTTAAAAAAATTCATAATAATTTTTCGATTGTATTAAAAATAAGGATAACAATGGTTTTATTATTTTATATGATTATTATTTCACGAAGGAAGGAATATAACAATTGGAAACAAAATGTACATACATATTTACTACAAAACACGATTTTTTTCTTTACGCAAATGTTTAAAGCATGAGATAAACAAAGTTCTCATATTTTAATACAATTGAAATAAAGCTACACAATAAAGATTAATGCAAATTTTCTACAATTGAACTGCTAAAATAATATCTTCAAAATTATTTCTACATCTAGTTTTCAAAAATACATATTAGATAAATCATTTGGTAAAAACTTGAGAAATATTATGCATGCTTTATGTACAACATAAAAAAGACAAAGAATTACTAAAGAAAAACTTATTCAGCAAAAAAGAAACAACAAGGGACTGAGAAGTTTCTGGACTGATATAGAGATGGCACTAGTTATTGATTAACACTGATCAATATATTAATGAGATTTCGATCATTGTTAATTAACATATCACTGGCAGTCAATGGTGCAATCCTTTAATACATCACATATAAAATTTCAGAGCAGTTGCTTTGCTAGTAAACATCTCGTTAGATCACCGAAGTCAAGCATCATTGGGCGCGGTCAGTACTTGGGTGGGTGACCACCTGGGAACACTGCGTGCCGTTGGCAAATTTGGGACCTGAATGGCCGAGTGTCTAGCGCTCTGGCGCTCGGTGCCACAGGTTTCGGGTTCGAATCCCGGCGGTGCCATGGATGTTTGTAGTGGTTCGGAATCCACTTTAAGCCGTAGGTCCCGCTCTCCTATGACTGTAAGAGCGTCACGGAGCCAAAGTCAGGCTTCTACCTACGGGTGCTCCATCACAACAGAAGCTGCTTCCTTCCCCTTCAATCATGAGTCCATATGGGCTCGTGGGCTTGGCCAGCCAAGTGGGATAAGAAACAACAACAACAACAACATTTGACACAGTTTTAAAAGAGCTGCAATAAAAAGTTTAGTACTTCAGATTAAATAACATATTCAACACTAAAACAATAAAACTTTAAGTTAAAATGCTATGTTTTATAAAACTTTATGTATAATAAACCCATATTTTATTCAACAATAAAACATGGGTTCCTGAATTTAAAAAAGATTGTATGAGGTGGCTATAATGAATGCTTTAGGCACTGAAAGCAAACGAGGAGTCATTCTCCAGTGTGAAATAAGCACAGTTTTTGACATGATTAAGTTTTCCCCAATTGAGACAAGTTTTTTTCATTTGGCTTCAAAACTGCTGCTGATGTCTGCAAAACACAATAATCAAAATTAGAGCAGATTTTATTGATGAAAATTAAGAGTTTCATACTAAATAACTCACAAAGAATTTATTAAATTCAATACATTTTTAAATATCAAAAATGCTAAGAATAATAGATATACTTGCAATATTTTCTATACAAGTAATTATAGTTGCTACTCATAAATTTTATTAAATTTATTTATTAAAAAAATTAATATTGAAAATGCTTAATGCAATGTATTAATGTAAAGTGAAATTCAAGTCTTTGGTATTTTTTAATATATTAATTTTAAAAAAAAAATCCACCTTTGAATATAATAACATTTTCATGCAATAAACATTTTCTATTGCACATTATTTTGAGAGTTAAAAAATTAATGCTTAAATGGCTGTCAAACATTTGAACATTTCCATTACAAATATTTATCTAAAATTAATGTTGTTAAATATTACACACCTTCAAAAGGGTTAGAAAAATAATTTTAATTTCATGTGAAAATTATTCACAATATTTGATTTTTTTACAATAAAAATCAAATGAAAGTTTGGCTTATAATTTCTTATTTAGCCTACATAGCTAGGAAAAAAGAATTAAAAATATTAACAATAATAATATTAGCTACATAAATATTTTTTCCTATAAAAAAAATTAAAAAAAAAAAAAAAAAAAATTATGCACATTTTTGTTCTAAACCAAACTTTACAAAAATAAATTTCAAGCTAAACGTTTCAAAATTAGCACACAAATTATAAATTATATACATATATTTTCAGAACTATAGCCTAAAAAAAAGTAAAATGCAAGGTAAATTATAACAATCATTTAATTATGAGTGGTTATATTAATTTTGTTGAAAATATATTTAGGGTAATCAGGTACATAAAATTTTTTTTAAAAAAAGTGGTTTAGATAAATATCATATTGAATAACAAATCTTTTCTTTTCTAGAAAAAATAAAACATGAAATAAAAAAAAATTGAATAAGTTCTCTGATATTCATACAATTTCAAACATACAGCAAGTTAGCAAAATTGAAAAGGCAAAAAATTTTATAAGTCAACTACTGAATTCTTACTTTTTGACTTATTCCAAACTTTATTTTATATCAAATGATTTATTTATTATTTAATTTTCTTAAATAAATATTAAATAAATCATTCGATATAAAATAAAGTAGCATCATGCTATCTTTGCTAAATATTTCAACACATTTCTAAAAAAAAAAAAAAAAAAAAATAAGAAAAAGTTAAATAAAAAAAAACTAAAATTGAAATCCTGCATCAAATGTTATCGTAATTAATATATCCCAAGTTTTAAATCAGTTTCTCTTAAAATCAAACTTTCTTACATCAATTTTTAAATATTTCTTTAAGTTAAAACTTTGAGGAAAAGGTTTGGAACATAAAGAATGTTCTACAATATGAGTCATCAGAATGTTCTCATATTGTAGAACATTAAGTATTATATGAAAGTAAAGAATATTGTAGTAAACAATGTTCTACATATTGTAGTAAAGAATGTTCTACAATTGGCTTTGCTTAATAACTGTTTATTATTTGAAAAGGACATTCATTATGTTTCTTTATAGTGTTAGTTAAAACCTGATTTTTAAGGTAACCTATATAGTTTAAGAATTTATTCTTAAAAAAACTAATATTTCTTCAAATTCTATGCAAAACTGCTACCAACATCTGCAAAAAAGAGAGATTAATTTATCAAGATAAAAAAAATGATCAAAAGAATTATGAAGTATTACTTGTTAAATAAACATGTGTTATGAAACATATAATACCAACACTATATTAAAAATAAAAATAAAACGATTATTAGAAAACATTAAGCATTTACATGTGATTAGAAGATATATGATTTTAATTTGTTTCAGAAATTTCATACAATTTCATCGAATACAATGTATGAAAATTTATATTAAATTATATCAAGACTGTATGGCAACAATGCCTTTTACTTTGATAAATACAAATATTTTTGACTTTAACTAGGTCAGAATTAAAACTAATTACATGTTTACATACTTACTGAATAAGATAATTTTTTTTTCTTTCCCAATATTTATAAAATATCAAATAAAAAAAATAATAACTTCTCTGATATTGAAATATTTTAAGCATAAAAGTAATTAATAAAATTTAAATAGATTCAATATTTCTACAAGATAAACAGATACATATATATATATATTATATTATGATTTATTCTTAAATATAGTTTTAAAAAACAAACTTTTCCAAAGTATATAATAATAATTTGTATTTTAATTTATACACCCATTTTTCTAATCATTTATTTATTTACTGCTTAATTTCTCTTTTTAAATTCTTCAAACCCTTAGATTTACAAATTAAATATATAAAAAACTAAATCTTAATTTCATTGGAAAAACAGAAATTTTATTACATTTATTGATTGATAATTAAATTCATAAATTTGTATGTACAATTTTTTTTCTAAAATTTGCTTGCATTAAAAGTAAATAAACTTTTACATATAGATAATAATAATTTTATTTCTTAAAATAATAATAATAATAATAATCTCTTGTCATTTACCTGATAGCTATTTTATTCTTATAGAATTTAGACAAATTTTTCAACTTATTCATTTCATTTTTATAGACATAAATTATAAAAAAAATGTATCTTTTAAATATTTAGAATTAGTAAATGTCTACATTCAAATATAAATAAGATGGGAGTTTTAAATTATATGTAAAACATTTCCTAGTCAAAATACTTATTCTTCTCTCTATAATTTGATACTATTTTAAAGTTCTTTCTATGATTATTTTAATCAAGTTTTTTTTATTATTGTACTATTAAAAATGCATAATCATCTACATCATTTGTTGTATAAATATATTTCTCATTATATTAAAACACGGAAGAATTATTTTAGTTTTAGATAGATCATTTGAATAAAATCATTACTTTGAAAAAGTTGATATGAATTTTGTTTAAATATGTTATTTCTTCTCAAGATTGTTAGCACATATCTGTTAAAATATAGGTTAGTTTCTAATAAAAATCAAATTTATAATTGTTATATTTGTAGTACAAATTCAGACAATAAACACAAAAACGAAAGTAAAAATAATTTATAATGAAACACATACTTTCTTACGATCCAAATGAACAGCAACAAAACAAAAAAATTAACGGAAGGGCTTGTTTTTTTTTTTTTTTTTTCAAATAATTCAGATGAATTATAAGTTAATGAAAATATTATACAAATAATAATAATAACACGTCATGAAACTCATATAATTTTGAAAACATCTTCTGTTTACAAACTGTTTTCATTGGTTCACACTTCCGTCTTGACTTGACTTGACTTGGAGATCTACGTTCGGTTTAGCTGCTTTATTTTAATATATTCAATTGTTCTTAAGTAGAAATCAGGAGGGGGGAGGGGGGGGCATAAAGAGGAAAAAATATTATTAATAATAAAAAATATCTTTAGATAATCAGTAGGGTAAGAAGCACCCAAAAGTGGTGTCGTGCAGAAATTCTGTCATCAAATAATACAAAAAAAGTTAAAAAACTACACACTGTTTCATAGGAAATTAAATACTACACACTTTTAATAAATAAATAAATAAAAATACTACAAATTAATAAAAAATAATGTTAAATACTACACACTTTTTCATAGGAAATTAAATACTGACACAGTTTTGGAATAAGGTTCTTCGCACATATCAAATAACTACGAATAAGATAGGACTTTGTATAGAAAAGCTTGTTCCAGATTTTTTGCAATTCATTCTGTTAGCTCACACTCTCCCTATATATATCTTGTTCAAATTTTCAATCGCTCATAAAATACTTTTTATTCATCCACTCAAGTTCAAATACATTTTTTTGAACTTATAGTGCAAGACACTGGATGTTAATATAGTTTTTCAAATATTAATTCATTGATAAAATGTAATTAAATTAATTTTAGTTTTTTTTTTCAGATTTTAGTGGCATATATCTACCAATAGATGGCGTCAGATAAACTATAAAAAAATGAATGAAAATTATTTATAAAGGACTTTCTGCAATAGAGTGAAAAAAAAAAGTAGGAATTGATTTTAAAAATTTTTTTTAAATATTATTTCTGTTTTTGTATGTCAATATTTAATGCACTGAAATAAAATTTGTTCCTCTGTTTGCGGTTTATTTCATCTTAAGTATGATGAAAAATAAGTAAATCCAAATATATTGAGTCTAACACTAGATGAATAGGTCATGGTGCGAAATGAATACTTTTTCTTTTCGATTGATAAGGAAAAGACGTTGATGTTAAAGATTATCGAAACACACTGGCCTCGTCAATGGCCTCATCTTGGGTAGTGGCAAACGTAAAAGAATGATAACAT